AACAATATAGGGGACAATCTGGGGGCAAAACCCTTTTCCATCGCACACATATTTTCCAAGTACTGTGCCTTCCTCTTTGTTTCTAAATTTCAAATCCCAGTCCCCAGTAATTATCAAGGCGTCTGAATGGCATGGTGATCAATTTCAGAGTGAAGACGGTGACAGAATTCACTTTCTTCCTCACTAGCTTTAGTGGCTGTGTATCCATTTGAATGGTACTCGTACCGACTGGATCTCCTAGTGTGTGTATAGATGCCATCCTGTCCCGGACAGCAGTGTATTTCCCGAGAGTCCTTTTTGATGTTGAATTTGACACCATTCCTCTTGAATTTGTCATTCCCTGCATAGAAAACCACCCGGTGATCTGATTCAAATGGCCAACACCAATCCATTTCAGCTCAGGAGTGCCTGGAACATGCATCTGTAGGCACACCACTTCATTTTGACAACCTCCAATTTTCCTAGGTTCCTATTGTGTACATTCCACGTTCCAGGAATTAAGAGATGTGCATCGTGGCTTCTTCTCACGTGGAGTCATGCCCCACCAGCACGTGGAGGTCCTGTCCACATCGCTGATCCACTCTACTTTGAGAAGGCTGCTCCTCCTTGGTCGCATTGTGAGGGCCTTTCTGCTGGAGGCCCGCATCTCCTGGCACGGCTCTAGCAGTGTTCCACGGCTCTTCATGAGGGTTGAGTAGTTGACTAGGTTCTGCAGCTTCTCTTAGGGTTTTCAATGGCGAATTTCTCCGACGTGAACAGTCGATTCCTTCTGTGTAGTCTGTTCTTACTCCGGAAGCTCTGTTGAAACCCCTTCACCTCAGGGGACCTGGCTGGTGTTTGAAATGCCAGGGACAGGGCTTCCAGCATTGCAGTGACATGCAAATCACCACAGTGCATCCAAGTGACAGACAAGTGGTGGGCGGCTCACATCACTCACTGACTCACCGCCACTGAGTGGATGCCGACTCACAGGGACCCTATAGGACAAGGTAGAACTACTCCTGTGAGTTTTTAAGACGGTAACACTTTACAAGAGTAGAAAGCCGTGTGTTTCCCCCAAGGAGCAGCTGATGGCTTTGAACTGCTTGCCTTGCAGTTAGCAGCCCAACTCGTAACCCGACACCACTCTGGTTCCATGACAGCTTACCTAGGTTGGTTTAATTGCCCGGTGACAGAGGAGCTCAGTCTCATAAGCAAGACACGCAAAAGCAGATACTCACAAGGTCATTTGATACTTTCGTGATGGACTCCGGATGAGAGAGTCCTGAGATTGTCAAGGCAGGGAGGGATCCTTTCAGAGGAGAGACTGAAGCACAGCATGAAGAGCCTATAGGAGCTGCCTAGTGGGTGACCGTGGCGTGCAAGGGCAGGAAGGGAAGACAGTGCAGGAGTGAGAACCACAGCAGAGCGCTGAAATAGCTGCAGTGAGCCTCACCCTGTAAGGCTTGTGTAAATGGGTATGTGTGGGCATGTTTCTGGCCCCTTGGTGGGACAGTAGTGAAGC